TGAGAGATCAAATTGTTCGAAAATGTTGATTTCGACTAATTTAGTTGAGGGAATATAAATAGCAAATAAGAGAATCATTTATAATATAACTAAATAAGACATTTCAATGATAAATAATCTTGCTTAATTGTAAATAAACTTATTCATTTTCTTGAATAGAGAGTTGATTGGACTTGATCGGTTATTGATTTGACTTGGATTAGAGTGTAATTTAACTTAAGGCGCAATCAATTTGTTGGATTAAGGTCAATTTTGAAGTTTAGTTGACAATTATATATAACTAAGAGGGCAATCATTTGTAATATGATAATTTGTGACATTTTAATGATAGTTAACCATGTGTAATTGCTCTTACTTATCTTTATATTGATAGAGGGTATTTAGACTTGACATGCGTGACATTGATTGGACTCCAATTAGAGTCCACTCAACAAGGGGCCAATTTGACCCAAATAGGGTCCAGGATAACAAATTGTCTTTCAACTGTCATTTTTGTATTAATTAGTTTTTACTGGAAAGTTTGAGGAAATAATAAATCCAAAATTGATGAAAATAAATAAAAATTGATTTTGATCGAAGAAGTCCAAGAGCAAAAGGCCTAATCTTTACTTTTTAATATTCATGTGGAATGTGAACCACTGACCTCCTACATAAATTTTACATTTTTTACTACTCATATAACTTATCTAATTTAATTATTTCTTTCAAATGATATATATAATATATATCTAACAATCCATCACATGAAATAAATAAAATAAATGTAAATATTATTTTTGAGTATGCTAGGGGACCTCTCATATTCCCAAATTTCATCAATTATCAAAATCAAAGGAGGCAAATTCATTGTTGTTATAAGAAACTTAAAGATAAATTACAAAGCCATCATCAATTGACGATCAAACCAAGCTTTTTGAGGAAACAAGAAAAAGATATTGCGTCATTCAATCAAGAAACAATTCGAGAAATTCAAGACTCATCATCTTCTACTTCAACACTCTAAAAATGGGATTATGTTGTAATGATCTGGCCTCTAAACCTAAGCTGTTGACTTATGTATTGTTCACTATAGGAGAGGCCGAGCTCATCTTACCCCTCACAAATTTTTGTCGCTTCCCCAAGATTCGAACTCATGATCTTTCCTTTAAGTAAGGTTTAAATTGAATCCTGATTCAACTTAAGTCATTCATAAGGGAAATGTCAAGGACTCAATCTTGGATAATGTGATAGAAACTCGTAACGGGTACGTTGGATATATGTTGTACTAAAGCGGACAGTATATAAGAGAACAGCAAGACATGAGGCTCGGGTCGTTACACATGTTCTACCAATTAATCATGTTTTCCTGTTATTTTCCAATAATAGGATTGAAATCCAATTATTAAGATCTAGATGAACTCTTGTTATGAAGATTTAAATAAAAGTTCAATAATTTAATGCCCAATATATGTTCATTTTTAAATGATAATTAATTAGCTACTAATTGGAATATTTTGTGAATTTTGTTGTTATTGCGAGAGACAATAAGATATATTGCACTTATAACAATCATTGTAAAATCCGATAAAGGATAGAGATATAACGTTATACTTTGCATGATTTATATTCTAACGTTTTTAATGCATACTTTCATATTCGCATCTCTCATGGAGATATATGAAGGTCATATGAAATAATAGATTTAATTCAACTAGAAAGAGATTATTCATTAAGCCCTTGTATGAGCCCCATTATTTACAAAATATATTTTCTCTCTTCTTTTCAATTACACATTTTTCAATAAAATAATTTACAAACTCAAAACTTATTCTTATTTTTTAACTACACATTCTTCATCAACCTATTATTCCAAAATGCATTTTCAAAAGAAAATGGGGCTCAAACATGCTCTAACTTAGTAACATTGATCAATAAGAATACATACATATTATCATGATATTGTAAATTGTATTAAGATAGAGTAAAAAGTGGTATAAGCAGAATACGCTTCAAATCTTGTGAAAATTGGGCTCAGTCAAACACCAAATGAACACCAACCATATGAGACTCAAACCCACAACTATCTTCACTCGGTTGCCACTGAATTGTACTTATAAAAAACATAATAATGGTGATTAATTTGCACCCACAAAGGAAGAGAATAGAGGAAGCAATTGTAAACCCAAGAGAAACCAAAGACGCTTGTTCTGACATTTTCTTTCAAATGCAAATTAACACGCGGCTGCGAGGTAAGAAGAATGATAGATATATATATTCTTTAGTTTAGGTCGCCTTCAATTGGGCCAAAGACAAGTAAATTGACTCTACAAACAAATACCAAGATAATGGGCCAACAAACCTAATAAAAGGATTACCAACAAAAAGTACAATAAGCTAACTTACATGAGCCATCCTGAAGTGAATTGAGCAATGAGAAACTATAACTAATTAAGTCACTTCCAATGGTCCAAGATGTTTTTAGGTCGTGCCAATCACTGTGGTGTTGATATAGTTATCTCAATAACATTTTAGCATCATCGCTCGAATTTATTGGATATAAAAAATCAACAAATCTCCACCTTAATACCCAATAAACCTACAAGCAAGCAACATAAAGCTTATGCTTACCTAATCAACATAACAAAATAAAATTGGAATCACAGACCTAACCTGAAACACATACCATACTACTCCATGTACTGACAAGGGCTAAGGTCAAGAAAATCCAAGCAGAAAATATATAATCACGTTAACATAAAGTATCGTCTAATATTCAATATGATTCCGCAAGATCTAGCTTCATTCAAGTAACGGTGTCAATCAAGAGCATATAAAACATGCGATGAAAATATGGGAAAACACAAAGATCTTTTCAAACAAGTTCACGTAGTAAAAAACATCAGACTAACTCCAATTTAATTAATCAAAATAACCAACATATACAACAATTGCATAAATGATCCCGCAAAAAGATCTCACCAAAATTATCCTACTTGATTCCATGCAATTCGCATCTCGAGAACACATCTCCTCTCATCACCAACCATGCTCACTAAACTAGTCACTAGTCATATCTAACTGATAAACCACCGTAGATCTTAAGTCCATGGGATGTTCATCTATCATTACCTCATATCTCTCAACCTAAATGGATAATAGATCTCCGCATAATAGAAATGATAGGAGTGTCACTCTCACACTCCACCCAATTAGGATTTTCACAAATAAAGGATTCTAACATTTAATCACATCACTTCTCGTGATCCAAATGTCACTCTCTACATCCCTTGTACATATTACCAATGTACCATCAAACGTCCATACTCTACAATATCAATAGATATACTTAATGCTAATGTATCTCAACCACTATGCATGCAAACACATTACATGCAGTAATAAGATCACTCTAAAATTCATGTAAATACACGTCAACCATATTGAAATCCAGTACAAAAAATAATGCACCAAATCAAGTAACCATTCATGCAAATGGGATTTTCACACAAATGCGCATGCAATAACTAGGATTACTCGGGTCATAACTAGACTGGGCGATGATGTTAAAATGTTGTTGCGATAAATATATCAACACCATAGCGATTGGCTCACCTGGAAACAACTTGGGCCATTGGAAGTGACATAATTAATTAAAGTTACTCATGTCCCAATTCACTTTTGGATGGCCCATGTGCGTTAGCTCATTGTCTTTGTGTTGATCTTTTTGTTGGTGGTCCTTTTAATAGGGTTGTTGGTCCATTAGCTTGATAATTTGTTGCGGCCCATTTAATTATCTTGGGCCCAATTGGAGATGACCTAAACCAAAGACTATATATCCATCATTCTTCTTGCTTGGAAGCCATGTGTTAATTTTGCATTTGAGAGAGAACGTGAGCACAGCCGTCTTCGGTTTCTCTTAAGTTTCGAATTGCTTCCTCTATTCTCTTCCTTCGTGGTTGCAAGTCATTATTGTGTTCTTTGTGAGTGCAACTTAGTGGGAACCAAACGAAGGTAGTTGTGGGTTTGAGCCCATATGGTTGGTGTTTGATGGGTGTTTGACTGAGCCCCATTTTTACAAGGTTTGAAGTGTATTTCGCTTAAAAATGGTATCAAAGTCCAATTGGGATTTGAAATCTTAATAATCATCTCTCCTAAAACCATCATAATTTGATCATTAGAACAATTATTTAGATAATTATTATAAAATCTTTTTACAAGTTTGCTATTCGTCCATTGGGAACGATATCTTACTCATTATTTTATTACTTATCAGTGATACCGTATACTTACGAGTTTTATAAATTAATATATTAATGATATGTATTGGGAAAGTTAAAAGCACAATATGAAATTCTACCATTTTGCTACTTTTCAAAATTTGCTATTAGATAATACAGATTCTTAATAATCACTTTTTATAGATTTCCCAAACACTTAAGCCACTGTTCGAGTTCCATTCCACATGAATTCATTTTTTGTTACATTACTATGCTCAATATTTCATTAATTAATGTAAATTTCTAGTCAGTAGTCTACGATGATGGTTTCTGTCGGTATATTGGTTCACACTTTTGTATTTCTTAACTTTTTTTTCTAAAATGAGGTAAATAAGTATTTTTATGCTTTCCTAATGAACTTCTTATATGAGAATCGGTATAGAAACAATGTGCTAACTACTATATGTTGATGATACCAATGAGAAGAGGAAAAAAACACAATAAACATAAGCATGAACTAGAAGTTAACAATCTTTAATACATTTAGAAAAGGGTTCAACTATAATGAGAGAATATATATATATATAAAACTGTAAAAGTGAGACCGTGACTTGAGAAACTTTATAGTTTTTACAAAGAAAAGTGGGGACTCGAAAGTTTTTCAAAAGAAAATAAAATTACTTCATTGTGTCATCATTGTTTTGCAACAATTATGAATAAAGAAATACGCTCGATTTCCACGTGCTTACATGAAAAATATGAAAAATAGTTTCCACCAGTCTATTTTATCCGAGTTCGATTGTGTAGCAAACATAGGGCATCCGAAGAAGATACACTAAGCTCTCTCTCTCTCTCTCTCTCTCTCCACATAGACTTCAAGAATCAAAATATTTAAGCATAATAATTTAAATATTCTGTTGTTTTGTGTTTTTTCTTTCTTTCTTTCTGTTTGCAGAAATGGATGAAGCTTCTGTACTGGAAAATGCTATAAGGTATTTCACATACCTCCAAGGACAAGTGGATTTACTTGAGGAACAAGAAAGAAAGCCCACGGTACGTGTCAAGAAATCACAGTTGGTGGTGGACGATGACGAATCATCGTGGAATGAGCAGCAGTCGCCCCCATCAATCGAGGCTCAAGTTTGTGACAAACATGTTCTTCTCAGAATCCGTTGTGAGAAACGTAAAGGGGTTTTGGTGAAAATTCTTTGCGAAGTAGAGAAGCTTAATTTGGGTTTTGTTCACACATGTGTGGTGCCATTTGGAAGTTCATCCTATGATATTATCATTGTTGCAGAGGTAAATAATCTTTTTCGAGCAACTTAATGTTTAAGATGTAGTGGTTCAAATTGATATTCTTTTTTTTTTTTTTTTTTTGACATTTAGCCCCTGTTTCATTCTCATCCTTCGAAAAAAAATAAAAAAGTGATACATTTTAAACAGTATTTTCACATCATTTCAACCACACATTCTTCAATAAAATAATATTAAACGCAAATTCAAAATTTTTTCTTATTTTTTAACTACACATTTTCTATCAATGGACTATTTAAAAATTCATTCTTATCAAAAGAATGAGGCTCAAATAAGGACTTAAAGAAGAGATAAAAATACTATGCACGAAAGGAACTAACTACGGGCAGCGAAAGAGTTGTTATTGAGTTCTGTTGGGAGAAGTAATACAAATCTTTTAAATAATTAATTTTATCATATATAAATGATGTAGAAATTGCCTTAACGGTTATGTATGAACATCTTGTTGAATTTAGCCTTCTATCTCTTCAGAACGAGGAAGAATTCAGTTTGGCAGTGAAAGAAATTGTACAAAATATTTATGCCGTTCTCCAGCGTGCTGTCTAGGGAGAAACGGGAGCTGGCAATGTGTGTACTCGTTGGGCTAAATGGATTTGGGCGTCGACCGTTAGATACAACTATAAATCTGATAAATATTTTAATCTTATCTTATATCTTACTGTAATCATCTCTTTAGTATCCTTATCTTTAAGAGAAATTACCCTTCTCAATATAGATTTTCGTGAGTCTATGCTCATGCTTGGTGGGAATTAAATCAACTTTTTAGTAAATTTTAATAAAAGTTGATAAAATGTGCCGTTGAAAAATTCTGGATCCCATAAAATATGTAGTGGCAATTAATTGTTGATTTTCACTTAAATCAAAATTTTTAAATAAAATATATAGTTAAAATTAATTGTTGATTTTGATTTAAATTAAAATTTATATTTTAATCCATACTCTACATGGGCATCTCTTATGCGGATTGCAAGTTTTTTATGTTCTTGTTTTGGAGTATTTTGGAAGGGCATTTCAAAGTATGTACTGAAGATTCTAAGTGATGGTCTATTATGATATTTTCAGCACTACACCAAAATTTACACTATATTGCACCAAACCTTGTACCAAACTAAAATTCTTTTCCAGCCACATTGTTTTATTATCTTATTCATTCTTTCGATTTTTGACAATACATTTTATTTAAAAAAATTATTTATTCATTTAATTATTTTATAACTAAATAAATTACTAAATCATAACTTCATTAAATTAACAAATATACTGATTATTAAATTATTCATATGTTTTATATATTATGTTAAATTGACGAAAATAATTGATTATATTATTAATTTACGATAAACAATTACATTAAATTTACAAAAATAATTACTAAATTAAAAAATCCTTAATTATTATTGATTATATTATTAAAAATAATAAACTTTAGTAGTATAATTAATAGTGTAATTAATTATCATCATCATCATAGAACGAAAATGACACAAATACTCTTAACCATTATCTTTGAAAAATGAAAAATAAGGGCAAACCTTCCTCCAATCATTGCACCAAAGCCAAAATTTGGTGCAATAGGGCATCCATGGGAGATACCCTTATGTCAAACTCATATATGCATGGAACTAGAAGGAACATTCTTTCTACAAATTTGAATTACAACTTGAATCAATTTAGGTTAGTCAATAGTTTATAAATTAAGAGCCTAATTGAGCCCCATTTTTTCTTATTTTACTTTTGTATGTAGAATGAATTTTGGAATAGTAAATTGATGTATAATGCGTAGTTAAAAAGAATAAGAAAAGGTTTATTATTTACTTGAATAACGTGTGCAATATTATTTAATTGAAAAATGTATGATTGAAAACGAAGAGATAAAAATGTATTTTAAAAATAATGAGGATTGAATAAGGGTAAAAGAAACTACAAAAGTTACAAAATCCTACCACAAATTGAAATTATCATATGTATTGTTCATAAAGAGTAGAATTTCAAATTGCAATGGTAAAAAGAATAGGAATCCATCTCATAAGTTAAGATTGTTCAAAATTAGAAACCTTAATTCTATATCATTGAGAGAAATATAATCATCGTAAGGAATAGTTAGGAAAATATAAATGTGATAACATACATTTTACGTGCATAAAATCAAACTAAATTTTGACTTACAGAAATTGAATACGATAAGTAGAAATAAGGAAGTCGAGGCAAGAGTTGAACTCTTTGTCCTTAAAACAATTATACCCAGTATGAGTCTTAATGGTTTTTCAGCATTCGTCTATCAAGATACAATAGTCACTTTCCGCAATAGCACTCCAAATTATGTAGACCGACTAACCTTACTAATATTTTGAACTCTCTTTTATGAAATTCTATTCAAAGTAAATGAACAAATGAATATGCATCAACATGATAAGCAATTTATGAATTGAAATGAATTAATTCCAATCGCCCGGAATTAATATATGGACTTTGCTTGTTTGCCTGGCTGAGGCTCACGGGCCCCTTACAGGGCCTCTCACAAATAGGATGGGTGGATGATTTTTGTATAATTTTTTATCATCATGGGTCCCATGTGGGACCAACAACCTCTTTGGTATAAGCCTGTAACAGCCTGTGAGGCCTCAGCCTGACAAACAAGCAAAATCCTTAATGTGTAGTGGTCCAAAATGTTAACCAAAAGACACAACTTAATGAAAATGCATATCTAAAAAGGCTTGCCCCTATCCTTATCCATATCCTTATATTATAGAATAAAAGTTGCTCCATATATGGACTGTTCCTAAGAATGTGTGCCCATCCACTCCATCATTTCTCACTTTCACCTCTTTCTTTCTCTATCTCTGGTGTCTCATGTCAATCTTTCACCCTTTCTCCACACAACCTCCCATACCTCTTTACTATGTTCTCCAGTTTTCCTCTCAGTTATATATCACAAACTTAAAGGGAACAAGCCATCTGAAGCGCTTACCAAATTTAGTATCATGTTGTACCAAATTTTGTATCAAATCTTGCACCAAATTAAAATTTATTTCCAACTATTACACTAAATGAACGGTGTTTACCCATTTTCTTCCCTTTTTTTATTCTTTATAATTTATTTATTTGAAATATTTTTTCTTTAATTATTTTATAAATACATAAATTACTAAATAAATAATTACATTAATAAATATAAAAATATAGTACAATTAATAAAAACACTACAACAACGAAATATTAAATCATGCCATCAAAAAATAGTAGATTATCGTATGTATGTCATCGTTTAATATATTTCGTATTAACTTTAATAAATAATCGTGTTTGTTATATTTTAACTTTTTTCTTCTTTTAATTAATTATTATTTCTTACATTTAAATTTTATTTTAAATAATAATAATAATAATAATAATAATAATAATAATATATTGTAAAAAATATATAGCACAAATGACATAAATAATACACTTCATCAATTTATTTGAAAAAGGATAAGAAAAGGCAAAAAAACTTTGCAACAAAATGACGCAAAGTATAGTATTTCATTGAAGCTCCTTTGCACCAAAAAATGGTGCATTTTGATATTTTGGTGTTCACATTGGAGATGGCCTCCTACAGCCTCCAACAACAAGGTTTCATGTGGAGTTTTATTCTCTCTATGTCTATGTCTATAGTTATAGAAATATATGTATTTATAGACTAAACATTTTGAATTAATCTTTGTTTTTTTATCCTTCCCATGTAGAGAAGAGAAGAAAACGGAGAAATCGAAGAACCACTCCACCCATAACCAGTCTCACAAGAACGGTGTCAAGCCCTAACGCCACCGTTACACCTCCACAAAAGGGGTTCGTTTTTATTCCGCCGATTTCCTTTATATGTGTGGATTTATGATAAATTTTCCTTATTTTTACATGTTGAATTCCAAACTGTTGGACCCAAAGGTTTTGAGGAACCAGAGATATGCGAGAAAGTACAACAACAAAATCGGTGAATCTGTTGTGGAAGAGTAGACTTAAATTTTTCAAATGTGATTCTCCTTCAGTCTAATATTTGCTCCTTTCTTCTGCTCTTCTTATTTTACTGTTTTCATATGCTTCATTATTCTCATTGTCGTGTTTTTTGTACTTGGATTGCTATTTTTCTATTAAAAATCCGGTGTATTTCTTGTAATTTGCCGATGGAGCATTTCAGATTGTAGCTAACAATCCCAGGAAAAATATATATACCCAGATAAAGATAGATATCTTAAATTTTTTGTTCAATAAAATATGCCCGATTAAAACTAGAAATTTGTATGGTGCATTATATGAACATACACTTGGTATTACATTTATGGAGTTCTTAATGTCTGTTTGATTGCGAAGATGAAATTTGGGTGGAAAGAAAATGAATTCCAAGGAATTGAATTACCTAGAAATTGTTTTCCAGAGAATTGTAAATTATTGTGTTTGATTAGTATAATTTTTCACGTGAAAAATGTTGAAGGAAAAGTGTTTTTTGATGTTCGTTTTGTTTTGTTTTACATGAAAATT